AATTGAGCGGGGACAGTGGAGTGATCCTCCCTGGAGGACCTCTGCTGCTCTGGTCAGAAGTTCCTTACACAATCATGTAACTGTAGGTGTACATGGGCAAATGTGTGTGCCCAGGAGGCGATGCTGTTAGCATGGCCCATACTGGTCAGAAGCACAGAGCAGGAAGAGAACCATTTCAGGGAAATCCTACCCTTCCAGGAGGATGCGGGCCACATATGCGCCCTGTAAGAGGGTTGTGGCTGGAATCACCTTACCTCTGGGGATAGAATACCAAGCCTGGCTTCCTGTTGTTACCGGGAGTGAAGAGCTGGGAGGTGGGGCTGGTTCACCACTCCCAGAGAGATGGGCCAAGCAGCCGTGACATCATTGTTTTCAGAACGGCGGCCCCCTCTTTGGGTGGAGAATACACTGAAGTCCTTAAAGGCCACAATGAAGTCCAGGACTGTACTTTTATGGCATATCGTATTCCTTTTCCCCAGGGTTCCAAGAGCAGCACCCAGGCCTCTGCAGGAAGAACCCCAGGCCTTGGTAGCTGGCCCTTTTGTCTCTATTTTATACTTTTTTAAATGCCTTTTCTCTTTTTTTCTTTTTCTACTTCTTCATTTCTTTTTCTGTTTTCTTCTTCTCTTTCTTGCTTGCTTTTTTCTTTCTTTTTTTTTCTCTCCTAAGTGGCTGGAGAGAACTCCAGCCACAGAAAACTAATCCCATTCCCCAAACCCAGAGGCCAAGTTCAGACAATCCTTTGAATACTTCTTCATTCTTCCTTTTCTACCCCCTTCTCTAGTTTCCCAAACCTTGCATAGCCACGCTTTGTCCTGAAGCCTGCTCCAACTTTCTTTCCAGTTATCTTTGTTTTATACACAACCCTAAGTTTTCCTACCACAGGGTAAAACTGCTCTCTTAAGGGGAAACACTGCAAACAAACTCCTAACTTATGATTGATTCTATTATATCACTATAAAGTACAAAATCAATATTTACACAGTCTGTCAGTTTCTAAATTGTGCCTGATGCTATTGTTACTGTGAATTTTGCAACTTTTTAAAAAAATCAGGGATCAAACTCAGAACCTTGTTCTTGCCAGGCAAGTGCTTATGCCATGGACTATATCCCCAGCAATTTTACTGCTTTAGCTAGTATGTGAAGTCTGTTGTAATCAGTAGCTGTCCTTCTGTAACAATAGTAAGAAACTCTGGGATAATAACTACATCACAGCCCTATACCAAAGGACTGTGGACTGAGCTAAACATCTCATCCTTAATTAATTGGAAAGATAGGATCTTGTGACAGACACAAAACAAGAATCTCGTACATACAGAAGACATCCCTGAAGAGCAGACTTTTCCTAGGAAGGCCTTGATACTAATGATAAAGCTACCTACATAAAAATTCAGAAAGATTATCACAGAAAACAGAATAAAAATTTTTTGAAATAGAAAATTACAAGATGAAGAAACAAAATGCAATCCCAGATCTCCAGCCCATCCAGAATAAATCAGAAAGACATCAACATAGAATAAATTGGAAGATATACATATGAAATCTCTGAAATGATAGAAACCAAAGTAAAGAAACAAGTCCAAGAGGCTACAGAGGAAATCAGATCAGAAATAATCTCTAAGGTAAAAAAGAAGCGTCAACATTTAAAAAGAAATTGCTCAGCAAATCTATAGATAGATTAAAAAAAATAGATGGTGATAGGAAGAGGATGGAAATCATGAATAACCAATATAGGAAAGAAATAGAATGCATGAAATGGATTCACACAGATATTCAGGAAATTAAAAATTCAATTGAAATCTGGCATCACCACTTGAATGAAGCCAAAGACATCCTGAAGACAGGATTATGGATAGTGATTATGAAAGGAAACTTTTCTTGAAAATAACAAAAGAGCAGGAAATAACTATTCACATTTTCGATGTGAATAGTTTAATAGCAATGCTAGGCTATCAATGCCCTGATCCAGAAAAAGCACAACCACTCCACAAATAACTATTCAACCACAGTAAAATGACACTAAGAAAAATAGTATAAGAATAATTAATGTAAATGAAAAAAGTCAACATAAATGATATTAAAAAACTGTTTGTAGGAACAGTGGCAGGAAAATTTCCAAGAACGGGAAAAGAATCTGACATAAAGATAAGTGAGGCATATAGAACTCCAATTAAACATAACCAAAATAAATCGACACCCAGACATAAAATAATCAAGATCCCAGTATTCAACACAAGAACAGAATATTAAAGACTTAGAGAAAAGACACCTATAAAGGATAACCTATGAAGGAAAACCCATCAGAATCATGGCAGACTTCTCAATACAAACCCTCAAGTCAAGAAGAGCTTGAAGTATTTTATGTCCTGAAAGAAAACAACTTCAAACCCAGACTGATGTACCTGCAAAAGTACCTTTCAGAATTAATGGAGAAATAAGATATCTCCATGACAAAGAACAACTGATGAACTTCATGATCACTAAACCAGCACTACAGGAAATACTGAAAGGTGTTCTAGACAGGCAAAAATGACCAGAATTCCAAGAACAACAACAGAAAGAAATTAACAAGCAGGGTAAATTAGAGATAAAAATGTAGAACCGACAGAAGGAAAAAGTGTGACAAGGATAACTGAATACATATCAGTTATAACCATCAAAGTAAACGGCCTCAATTCACCAGTCAAAAGAAACAGACTGGCAAAGTGGATGAAGAAACAGGATTCAAAAATATACTGCATACAACAAACATTTAACTGAAAAAGTAATTCATAGGCTGAAAGTCAAAGGATGGGAAACAATATTTCATGCAACAGGAACCCCCCCCCCCAAAAAAAAAAGCAGGGGTAGCTATTCCGTTTGCACACAAACAAACTTACCCAAGAATGATTGAAAGTGATAAAGTCATTACATACTTGCTAGGGGAAAACTTCAAGCAAAAAAGATAATCAAAATATATATGCACCAAATATGGGAGTACCTATTTAAGACAAATATTGACAGACATGGCAATCAAATAAGCAATAGCATAATTTTAATGGGAGTCTTCAATACTCCATTTTCACAAACAGATGGATTAACTAGACAAAATCAGCAAAGAAATAACAGAACTGAACCAAACCTGTGAACAAATGGATTTATTAGATGTTTACAGAGTGTTCCACCGAACATCAGAATACACATTCTTCTCAGCTGCACATGTGACCTTTTATAAAATAGAGCCCAGAGCAGCTTGGGCTACAAAGTGAGTTTCAGGCCAGCCTGAAGTCACGGTGGAACCCTGTCTCAAAAAGATCAGAAGGAAATAAAAACAAAAACAAAAAATTGAAGTCTCACTTTCACTGTCCTGTCTTGCACGTTTCAACGTGGGTTCCTCCGGTTTGGGAAAGTGAGGGTATTTATCACACCCCTACTGCATGTAAATACTACTCTTACAGTGGGGCAAGAAACAAACTCTGGCCGGGTACACCATGAGAGTTGGAGCTACTTATTAGTGTAGTGTGTAGTGTAAGGTATCACTTACTGCCTGTCACCTACCTCTCTCCCTCTCTCACAGCACTCTGCCCCAGTCACTGGGTTTCCTCAGCTACTTCCCTAAACCACACTTTCTCTGAGCACTTGCAGAGACGGGTCCTTCTGCTGGAAATGCTCTTCCTCTTGTCTAGGCCTAACATCTCTTCAGACTCAATGCAAATTCCAGTCCTCCTGGAAGCCTTCCTAATCCACGTGCTACCTCAGTCCCTCACCATTCTAACACAGCACTGATCACATTGCTGTAACTTTTAAAAACCATCAAATAATTCAGACACAAAGAAATCACACAGGGTGCATCATATACCTATTTGCTGTCCAACTTACTCAACAACACACTGCCATTTGGAGCTCTCCTGACATTCTGCTGTGTCCCTACTCCCAGCCAGTATTTGAATTTAGAGTTTATCCTTCCATGTGTTTGTAGACTATTACATACGTATAACATACAGTATTGTTTTGCTTCACTTTATATTACTAAATGCTCCCCTACAAACCTGGATTTCTCTCCACCCTTATTCTAGAGCACACCTACTGCTGCATTACACTTTGTCTGTTTCCCATAGAGAGAGAGTGTCATGTTATGAGAAAATCATTCCCAGTCATTAGGTGTCAGATGTGATGAGTTCTCTTGTCTCACAACTTTAAGGGAATGAAGTCATGGGGGAAAGAAGGAAGTTAAGATTGTAAGTATAGTCACTTAGCTAGTAATGGTCCAATAAGGAAAAGAGGCTGCTGTTTACCTCTGGGGAGGCCTGTGGGTCTACTGCATCTCCACGTTTGTTTGTTTTTTGGTACTGGGGATGGAACTCACGACTTTGTGCTTGCGGCTGCTTGCCAGGCAGGCGATTATGCCTGCTGAGCTAAATCCCTGACCCACACCTGTATCTTGAAGCCAGGCTCTCTTCACCTCCAGTCAGTGTTTAGGGGTCTCCTGTAGCATGCTGATTTCCTCAAAGGCCAGATCCCTCTCTGACTCCATAATTAATTTCTATTGAACTGTGCTGTCTGTAATATTCAGATTGTTTACACAGTTTTGCAGTTACGAACAACTGTGCTTTAAGTATTATTGTATGTCTTCTTATCGTGATAGTTTCTCTGGGTACACAGCCAGAAATGGATTTGCAAAGTCCACGCCTCTGGGGCCCTTTAACTTCATCAGAGGTTGGCAAAGCTCTCTGCCTCTGCATGTAAATGCCCAGGAGCAAAGACTCTGCAATCTGCTTGACCCTCGTGTTTCCCGGGACAGGGTAAAGAGGACTCCAATGCCCAAGTGTACCAATGAATAACTGGACGCAAAAATTCAGCAGACCATTGCTCAGTGAAAGAGCACAGATTCCTGACCTGCAGACAGCATTGTTTTACTGTTTCTCTCCCGCAGATCAAAGAGGATCTGTGCAAGGGGCGGAAATTTTTGCGTTTTCCTCTCTCTTTTTAGTGCTGAAATAAAACGCAGGGTGGCTCCCAGGTTCAGCAACTGCCTTGCAGCGGAACCACTCCGCGGTGCCCTGCAATCTGCGGCGGGCGCCCCGCCCCCGGGCCCCTAGCTCCGCCCCCGGCGGCGCCGAGCTGCGGACGCGCGCTGAGGACCGGCGCGCCGCTTCGGCCACGGAGCGGCGGCGGGCGAAGGCGGAGGCCGGGGCCCCGAGAGGCGGGATGATCCAGGCGCACCAGGCCGCGCTGCTGCTGGCCGCGGTGGTGCTGGGCTGCGCGCTGCGGGACCCCGGCGGCTCCCCGCAGCCCGGTGAGCGCGGAAGGCGGAGGGGGGCGGCCGCCGAGCGGCGCCGCGGAACTCCGGGTCCCGGGCCTCTCCGGGCCGCGGCCGGGCCGGAGTCAGAGCCGCGCGGGCCGTGGGTGCGGTGGGCCGAGGACGCTGTGCGCCGCTGCCGCCGAGCCGGCTCCAAGCGGAGCTCATGGGAGCAGTGGCGACGCGAGCGACTTCCTGTGCCTGCGCCCCCTCCCAGGCCGCAGGCTGGCCTGTGGCCGAGGGACCTGCGCGGTGCGCAGCCCCAGGAGCGGCGTTGGGGCGGCGTTGGGGCAGCCCGCCGCGCGGGGCCGGGGCGCCAGGGGGCGGGCACGCGGGCGCTGCAGCAGCCGGGCTCCTCCGGGGTAGCAGGCTTTGGCGTGAGAGTGGGAGTTAGCTGCCACTTCCCAATCGGAATCTTGTGGGAGGAGACTGTGATGGGTTGTTTAAAAGACTCAGCCGGCTTCATCACCGTTTCGTAAGTTATTTGAGGAAAAGGTGGTTTGTAAGTAGCGGTTGCGAGTAGTGGGAGAGCGCGTTCCGGCCTGGCCTTAAGGGTTCCACCTCCAGGACCGTGACAGCCAGGCTCTGGTGCCGCCTCCTCCCGCTGTTGGGCTGGACAGCAAACTCCGAAGAACTTCATAGGAATTTAGTACTTAATGTTTGCCTGGGAAAATTCATAAAATACGCCTTAAAATAGGTTTAGCGAAGATAGGAGCAGACAACTACAGTTTAATTAAATATTTGGAAATGATACAAAGATCAGCATATTTATTTACCCCACACTACTGGAAAGTGACTTCATCACCAAGACTAGTGTAGACAGAGAAAAAAACTAATTCTCCCATCTATAAAGTTCCTTGAGAATTACCTGGTGTTTTTGAGGTCACACATATGGGGAATTGGTGGCTTTTTCCTGTAGCTGAGCATCAGATTCTGTTTAGAAAAAAATTTTTTTCTATAGGGGGATTGGACCCAAAGCCTCACATATGCTAGGCAGACACCCCACCACCAGCTACATCCTTAACTGGAGGTCATATTTGGTGGTTTAATAATTAGGTCTTTCATGTCTGTTATGTAACCTTCCCCCTTCCAGTTAGGTAATGCAAAGGAGTGCAACGTAGGGTGCCCAAATCCCTTGGGCGTACACAGGTCCAGCTGTGGTCTTCAACTGTGCCTGCATATTAACGTCACTTTGGGAAGTTTGTTGTTGGAATGGGTCAGGTGCTTAAAAATCCTGCTGATTAGTTGGTTCTGATTTGATAGGTTTGGAATGAGCCAAAATCCTGTTGGCACTGGTTTTTAAGCTCAGCTAATTGTGATATTCAGCGGGGACTGAGCACTTCTGCACACTTCTAGAGAACGTAATTATTAGAACAATGAAGAGCGTTCCAAATCAGAAATTCACATGGAAAATCTGAGCCTTAAATGAGAATCTTACTCTTATCTACTACTAAAGACTCAAAAATGTCTAATTGAAAACAGTTACTATTCCGGCTTTGAAGGGAAGGGCTGGTGATGTATAGAAAAATTACAAAGGAGTAGTTTTGAAGAGTAAAACTTACCAAAACTAAACAAAGGAAATGAGAACAATATTTTAAGACACTTATGACTAAGATGAGAAAGATTTAATATTGTTGTTATGGAGAGAAATTATTCAGATACTTAACTCAAAGGTTAAATAAAGTGGTTACGTAAATATTTCAGTACTTGCAAAAGGAAAATATGAATGTTAAACATTTGGAAAATATGTTTAACTTGTCATTAATTTGAGATGCTGTTTTCTGTTCAAAGTGGAAAAAAAGTGAAAAACAAAACAAACTGAAAAGCTAATCCTGGATCAGCTCCTGGGTAATAGATATGCTTCATCTCAGGAAACTCATAATGTAGGTGGGAGGCAGATGCTGGGCTGACCTGGGCTTAAACCCTGGCTGCACGTAGGTGGTTACCTGCAACAACTTAGTTGATCTCTCTAGACCTCAGATTCCAAATCCAAAAATTATGTCCTGTCTCATTGGTATGTGCCTGTAGTCATGGCTGCTCAGGAGGTGTGAGGCCGGTAGATCTGTTGAACCCAGGAGTTTAGCCCAGTCTGGCAGTGTAGAGAGACCCCATCCTGGGGGAGGAGTTAAAAAAAGACACCCAGCGCTGTTTCCTAGGGGGGCCGCTGGGGCTTGGTGCACAGTGAGAGTAGTTTTTTGTGTTGCCTGGGAGTCGCAACAGTTGTCCTTGTAAATGAGCATCTCCAGTTTCACAATGCATATGAGAAACTGTTGCAAAGGCTAATTTTGGTTAAAAGTTCTGTTTCTGAAATGATAGTTCACTTTCATTTCAATACACACAATGTGACAATGCGTTCATTTCATATATATGTAGTTATTTCTTATAAAGAATAGGAAATAGATCGTGGAAGTAAAGGTTAATTGAAAAGAGAAGAAACTTCGGGGCTGGGAATATAGCTCAGCAGCAAATCACCTGCCTGGTAACCACAAGATCTGAATTCAATCCCTGGTACCAAAAAAGTAAAAAAAGAAGAAGCAGTTTTAACAATATTTAATTGGGATACTCCTATCCTAAGAAGCTCTGAGTTTCTTGTCCATGGATTGGATGTAGCCTGAATCGTTTTAATGATCATTTATAGAGCATTATACATACCAACTTTAGCCTTTCCAAGAATTCTGTAAATTATACATTATAAATTCTATAAATTATACATCCTATGACCCCTAATTGATTGATAAGACACCTGGGGAGGTTAGATTTAAGTTGATCTAACTTAGGAGTCTCTACGCTTCCTCTGAAAGTTCTCCAGAAGGACATCAAAGAACAGAAAAAAATGATGGGTGAACCTTCATTAATCTAGAGAATAAACTGGGCCTGGTGGCACATGAATGTAATCTCAGGCTTGGGAGGCTGAGGCAGGAGGATTGCTGCAAGTGTGAGGCCAGCCTGGGGTACACAGTGAGATACTATCTCAAAAAAAAAAAGCCTAAAAAAAGTATATTAAGAATCAGAAATTTTGATAAGGAGCTGTGATGGCAGGTGTAAGGCGACATGAAAATAGAAAGCTTCTGTGGATTATGTATTTTATATTTTGCCTTTACTGAGAGATGAATAAACTTATAAATGTAACCTGGTTAAGTGAAGAATTCCTGAGTTCATTGTGTAGGTGAGTTAAAGGTGAGCTTTCATGTATTACAAAGTAAAACACTAAGTTCATACATTTTTAACTGTTCCTACTTTCACTTTTGTTATTTGCCTAGAAGCTAGTTGATAAGTTATTTTCTCTTACACATAATATCACTATCGAATGGCCAGTTGGTTTAGATGAGCCACTGTTCTTTAACATCAGACAATACCAGTTCACTTTATTTTTCTACCATATTGTCAAGATGTAATTTTAGAAACCACATCATTCTTTTTTATGGCACTGGGAATGGAACCCAGGGCCTCAGATGTGCTAGGCAAGTGCTGTACCAATGAGCCACATCTCATGCCCAGAGTTTGCACCATCTTTTTGCTGTTCTAAGAATATCATATAACGAAGTGGTGATTGTGTGCTTGATTGAATACCAAGGCCGTGGATCTTTCTGTCCTTCAGACTGTGACCTATAACTTCTTCCTTTCCTGTTTCAAATCTGCTAAAAGGATTTTCAGAACACCAAACTAAAGCGATGGAAACTAGGACTTCTCAAGCCTCGAGAGCATCATCCAGGGGTTCTGCCAACTTCACACTGTGGCTAGATGGACTGGGGTTCTGCCAGGCTATGAGCCTGGCGATGTGTGAAAGTTGGCCCAAGGATATTATCTGACTCTTGGGAGTCTTCTCTTCCTGTAAAATGGACAAAGCCAAGCGGTGGTGGTGCATGTCTACAGTTCCATGACTGTGCAAGCCTGAGGCAGGAGGGTCGTCATTTCAAACTTAGCCTAGGCAGTTTAGTGACTTAGTAAGACTTTGTCTCCAGATAAAAAAAGGACTGGGAGTGTAGCTGAGTGTGAAGACCCTGGTTTTAATCCTCAGCACCGGAGGGAAAAAAAAGACAAAATACACAGTGGTCATTACTAAGTGGAAACTACTAATTCAGAACATATACCTTAGTACCTGATGAAAGTACATATAGTCCTTTTATAATGTGAATGGTGCTGACTGAATTCTTGTTTGTAATAGAGACATTTGTGCAGAGGAGAACCTGTGTATACATGTGTGAGCACATGCATGTGTACATTCTTTTATACAGACAGTAATGTATTAATGACCCCATAAACTCAGAGTGCAGAAATATGAGAAGCAATAGTGGTGTGCTTGTCTGTCATTCAGGTTACTTTTTTTTAGCTTATGTTTCCAATTCTTACCAGATTTAGACAATAAAAAGCATGTGGAGCTGAAGATGGATCAAGCTTTGCTACTCATCCGTAATGAACTTCCAGGAGAAAACTTGACAGTTTACTGGAAATCTGAGCGCTGTTTCCAGGTATGTGTTGTGTTTATGCCAACAGTTTCATTTGCATTAGTGCTGTCCTATCTAAAGCCTTTTACATGTTAACTTCAGTTTTATAGGTAAGGAAGCAAACAGGCTATAGTAAAGAATTAAAGATAATCAAGGAAAAATGCTTAGCAATGGACAACATCCATTTCTTAAACCTTTTCTGTCTATCTTTTAAAATACCAGATCTTGGTCATGAACAGATTGATAGACCACATTATGTTTCTCTTATCTAATGCATGAGCATCTTGCTGGACCAGGAGAGGAAGAAGACTGCTGGATAACATGCATGGTGGGAACAGTAGAGAGATTGCACATTGACAGAAAGGCAGTTACTCCAAGAATGTGCATTATTGGAAATAAATAGTGTATGTTTATTTTACTTACTAATTTGTGGTGCTAGGTTCTTGCATGTGATAGCTGTGCTATACTCCAGCTTCTAATGTTATTTTATCTGAAAACCTTAAAGCTATTTTAGACCTTGCTATTTTTTTTTTAAAAAGTCTTTTCCTTTATTCAGAAAACAGGTATATTTTCACTACATAGTTTCATCCCTTAGACATACACAACTATTTAAACTGTTCAAATACCTCTGGGCCAAATTCATGATTTTTGTTTAAGTAAATTAAGAACCAGAAATTTTGATAAGGAGCTGTGATGGCAGGTGTAAGGTGACATGACATGATAATACTATGCTGCAAAGTGAAATTATTTGAATATGGTCACATTCAAACCTAGTACTAGACTGTTCTGCTATTTAAGGGAGAGGATATTCTTCTTTTTTTTTTTTTGAGGATATTCTTTATGCAAAGAAGAATTCTTTTCTTCACCAAATTGAGAGCATCATTGTACTTAATTTCAGAGGAAGATTTTAATATATATAGTTTATAGAAAAACATATAATAAGCAATAAATTAGAGGAAAAACTACTGTTGGAGTATAAGAGCATCATTGGAACAGGAAAAAAGAATCACTTACAAAAAAGTGGGCACAAAACAGTGATTTTGGTGACAGAATGAAAGAAAAACATACTTCACAGAACTAGAGAAAACGTGTCCAAAATTCGTTTGGAAACAGAAGAGACCTAAAATAGCAAAAGCAATTCTAGACAACAAAGGAAAGGTAGGGAGGATCATAATCCTTGACTTGGAATTATTCTACAAGGGGCTTGGGGATTTAGCTCAGCCATGTAAGTGCCTGCGTGGCAAGTGCGAGGTCATGAGTTTGATCCCTGGTACCAAAAAAAAAAAAAAAAAAAAAAAACAACAGAGAGAAAGAAAGAAATTATACTGCAAAGTAATGTGATAAAAACAACATGGTATAGGCAAGAAAAAAAAAAAAAAAACTAGACCTGAGGGTCAGTGGAACAGATTAGGAGATCCAGTAACCACTCCAGATATACTTAGTCAACTTACCTTTAACAGAAGTGCCAGATACATTCACTGAAAGAAAGATGGCCTCTTAAATAAATGACTTTCCACATATCAGAGATTAAAACTAGACCCATGTCCATCACTGAAATTGAAGTGGGTCAAAAATCTAAATATTGGGATGGGGCTATAGCTCAGTGGCACAGAACCTGCTAGCATGTGGTTGTGAGTTCGATTCCCAGGACTTAGGAATAAAAACCCTTACTTTAGAAAAAAATATATATGTACATACAAGATAAGTGTATGCAAGACAAGTTAAGATAGATACAGAGCTAGCTTCTCTTTGTTCCTTGAGAAGAATGTTTTGTGCTAATACTGTTTAGACAAGGTGTCCTATAATCTGAGCGTCTACTATGAAGACAACAGGCAATGTATCAACTACTACTGTAACTGTCCTACTGACCTGTTTCAGAACTCGGTTTCATTGTCTGTTTGTCTTTTTTTCTCCTTAAAATAATAAAATTTAAATATTAAAACAAACACTAAGGGGCTGGGGGTTTAGCTCAGCGGCATAAGCACCTGTCTTGCAAGTGTGTGGTCGTGAGTTTGATCACCAGTACCGATAAAAAAAGAAAAAGACAGCCCCCCCCAAAAAAAACCAAACACTAAATCTATTGGAAGAGAGAACATTTAAAGACATATGTGTAGGCAAAGATTTCATGATTACATGGGAAATACTAAAAAGAATCAACAACTGAGGTCACAGAGAGAAAAGCGCATAAAGTCAGAAAATCTTTATTCAGTTGTCCCTCAGACAAAGGTCTAATACCTAGAACAAATAAACAATTGAAAAAATCAGACCCCTTAAATTTAAAGACCCAATTCAAAAATGGACATCCAAGATGAACACACGCTTCTCAGAGGAAGAAATACAAGTATCAAATAAGTACATGAAAAAATATTCAATATCACTGATCATTTGAGAGATGCAAAGTAAAACAATACTGAGATTCCACCTCACTATAAAAAGAATGGCAGTTATCAAGAAGTCAACCAGTAGCAAATGCTGCAGGAGCTGTTGGGAAAGTGGAACCTTTGTCCACTGTCAGCGGAAGCGGAAACTGGTTCAGTCACTGCAGAAATCAGTGTGGAGATTCCTCAGAAAACTAGGGTTGGGGAGAGAGTTTCAGGGTAAAAATGGATGTCCATGATTCGTTTCACTAGCTCAGCACTTGAGCCAAATTTGACATGAATGGTCAGCGGATGCGGCTCAATTCCAGCTAGGAAAAAAAATATGGCTCTGATTCTTCAGAGGTGCTGCAGAGTCTTGACTTCTATGGAAATAAGAAGTCTGTCCCAGGCGAGTGTAAAACCAGGAGCTCCAAAATGAAGAGAAAAAAGAAGAGAGCCTAACTGAAAGCAGGAGAGAGCCTAACAAGAAAAGACAAAGAAGGTGCTTTCAGAAATTACTTCTCACAAAGAAGGTACTCCTATACAGTGAGTGTCATCTGTGGAAGCCAAGATCAAAGACAAAAATTTAAAGGAGAAAATACACAAAATTCAAAGTTAAGGAATTAATCTTCCTTAGCCAATTGCTACAACTCAGCAACTTAACCAGCAGTGTAAACATTCTTGATTGCTTCAGAACATTCTGGACATAACCTTCCATGTGCCAGCACCGATCCAAATACAAGCCATTCCATTTATGCTACTTGATCAGGAATTTCTGACTTCTGCTTCTACTGGGAAGACGTTAGCTTATAGCTTTCCCATTTTAATGATGCTGAAACAGCCCACAAATAAAGAGCACTCACTGATCATATCACCAGTACAAGAACTTGCCAGTCAGATTCACCAAGAGTTATTAAAATCTCTGAGGGGACGGCATTTCCGATACATTTGGTATGCAAAGTAGCAGAGGCAGCCAAGAAATTTGGACTTAAATCATGTAAGAAGTTCAATATGCTTGTGACTACTACAAATTGACACATTCGTTTATTAAAGCAAGATCCACCAGGAATAGACCTAACAGGTGTTGCGTGGCTGCTAGTAAATGAGTTGGACAAACTATTTGAAGATGGCAAAACTGGATTTGGAGACCAGAGGGCTTCTATTTTCCTGGCCCGTGCATCTCACCAGGTCAGAAGAGCTATGTTCAGTGCAGCTTTTGCATATGGTATTGAATGGTGGTGCAGACTCAACCTGGACAATGTCATCATTGTCCATTGGTGCAAGGAATTCTGCAGTGGAAACTGTAGAACAAGGACTTCTCTTCGTTGATTCTGAGACTTTCTGGGAAAACTTCTGGCCATGAGAGAACTTGTTAAAAAGGGTTTCTATCCACCTGTTCTTGATTTTGTTCAGTTCATTGAAAGGGCTAAAGAACTTTTTCATGAGCTCATATATGAAGGTATTAATGTGGCTGTTATTCATGCAGAAAGAGCACAGTAACAGAGATAACACTGTCCACAGCATGTAACAGGAAAAACCTGGGTTCTTATTGTACACCCTTGCTTGCAAGAGGGATTGATTTTAAAGGTGTGAATTTGGTGAATAATTACGACTTTCCTACCAGCTCAGTGGAATATATCCATAGAATAGGTCGATGTGAAAGAGCAGGGCATGAGGGAAAAGCCATTAGTTTCCACTGAAGATGATAAACCATTATTAGGAAGTGTCGCCAGTGTTATCCAGCAGGCCAGTTGTTCTGTAACAGAATACATAAAAGGTTTTCAGAAACTACTAAGCCAACAAAAGAAAAAGATGATTAAGAAACCATTGGAAAAGGAGAGCACTAGCACAACTCCACATTATTTCTTTTCTTTTTTTTTTTTTTTTGATTTTTTTTTAAATTTTATTTAAGGAGAAAAGAAAAAAAAAGCAGAGAAAGGGTACAAGTTATACAGATTTACAGAAAAAAAATGAACAGTAGGAAATCACTAGTTAATGGATTACATACTGTCATCTTAGAAATAATTGTTCAAGTCACAAAATTAAAGCTTGTAAAGTGGACATTCCATCAATGATACTGCAAACAGTTCTGTTCAATGATCCAATAAAACTCTGTGATATCATATTCTATCTTATACACTTAAATATACATGCAGTTATATAGTTTAGAGCACTTTCTTTTCCTCTCTTTTGTACAATGACTATTACACATTTTGGGTTTCATTGCTCTCACAGTTCTTATTACTTTTTTGGAAGAGAGTAAAACCAAATGTGACATAACAGAACAGAATCGGTCAAGTTAAAAGGGTGGACATAATAGATAATGTGAAAACATAATACAAGGTGATCAACAATGGTTACCATAATGCCTCCCGCTATCTCTAATAGAATTGCCTATACCATTAGTTATAATACAATTGAACAAAACAGTAAAGAACAAAACCGACAAAGCCAAACCATTGGAGACATTGTAGGTCTTCAAAAGTAGATAAAAGTCAACGAGAATGGGCGTTATAATGAATCTCATTATCTTCACAGCTGATGCCTAAATTTTCGAACCTGATACTATCCAGCAAAACAGAATAGGGGAACATCAGTTAAAAACCAGATGATGAGAGTAATACAGGGCTTTAAATCGAGGTAATGGAAAGTCAAAGTGGGTTACTATAATATATCCTGCTATTTTTTTCCTTTAATTAAAAGGATAAAAATTTTTTTAAAAAGTATTAAAAAAGTAAATAATGGAGTGGAGATTGAGGTAAAAGAGGGCATAACAACGAAACAGCACAGATCAAAACATAACCATTTAAGCAGAATAGTGTTTCACCACCAGATAATCCTGACCTAAAAGTAGTTACCATATTGTCTCTTTCCTTGAAATCCTTGAGTACAACTTCGTATACTGTAGCATTAAGTATATCAAAACAATGTAAAACCATTTAAGAGAATGACAGTATTACAGAGTATTTAGAATCGACTAACAGAAAATGAATAATGGTTTCTGTATAATCTCCTTGTCTTTAAAAGGTTTTTGCTTATACTATCGTACATAATAAAATCCAGTAAGATACAACCTATTTAGACCATTGGAGACAGAAGGACAAAAGCTAGATGAGACTTCAAAACAAGATGATACTAAATCAGTATTACGTATTAAGATGTCATTTTCTCCAAAATAGCTGTTCCTATCATCCAATCTCTGCCTCATTTCTGATAAAGAGGAACTGGGGGAATTTGTAACCACCAATTCAACTCTACAGAGAGTATTGCAGGATATTCTAAAAAAAGAAAAATACAAAGAATCCAGAAATAGTGGAGGCCACGACTAGTGGAGCAGAGAACAAAGTGAAGAAGACAAACTGACAGCTACTGACAGAATAAGAGCTCCACATTATTTCTTAAAGCAAGATAAAGCTAAATGGAAAGAGGTCACTGGCCAGAAGAGCAAGATGATAGCATTTCAATACAAAAATTAAAACATTTTTAAAAAAGACTATCACAGAAATATAAATGCTACTGGCTTCTGCTTCTACTGGGAAACATTCATGGTCCAGCATGAATGTTCTCACATAGAAAACTTCAAGGCTTGTAATCATTGCTACCAAACATTTGGAATCAACAAGTACGTAGAACTGAAAGATGATCCTACACTATTAATGCATCATGCCAGATTTTAATCTAGATGAAAACAGAACAGTGGGAATAATAGTCATGGATATGTCTGTGGTTCAATCCAGAGAGATACTTCTTATAGACGAACAAAACCTTATGCTAAGTAACACCCAATGTGGTGAACTCCTAAGGATTTTGCCCTTCAGGTGTGAAGGAAAATGTGACGTATGCCATGGGGAGGCATCAGAAACATAATTTAAAGCCTAAAGATTGCCCCTTCTCAAACAATAGTAGCAACAACAACAAAAACTAGGATTGGTGGAGGTCTCATTCAACTCAGCTATTCTCCTTCTAGCTGTTTTCCTGGAAGAATTGAAAACATATCACAAGGGCGGAGGATTTAGCTCAGAGGCTCAAAAACTTGCCTAATAAACACAAGGTTGTGAGTTTGATCCCTGGTACCAAATTAAAAAAAAAATGCCACAGCTATATATGTGCATCCATGGTTATACTAGCACAGTTTGTAATATCTCAGTCTTGGAAACAACTGAATACCCATGAACTCATGAATGGATTGAAAAAATACGGTTCTTTTATATAATACAGTACTAACCCACAAAAAAGGATAAATGACCGACTCTAGATAAATGGATGGACCTTGAGACCATACTCTTTACATGAAATAAATTAGAGAAACATATGTAAGTATCATATTATCTCCTTGGCATAAGAAACCATAAGAGTAAATATAGATCAAGATGTACAGTAGGTACTGAGAAACAGGAAGAAATTGTTTAAAAGGAGGAAGGGACTAGAGAGGGCATGGGGGATATGAATGAAGGGAAAAGAAAAAAATGAAAAAAGGATAAAATGGAAACAAAGATAAATAGGGGAAGAGGGGTGAGAGGGGAGGGAATTGGGGAAAAAACAAATTATATACAGGTACAAAGTCTGTATAATGAATATGAGCGTTATATATATCTAAATGGTACCAATAAACAAAAAAATGTAACCTACTAACTGAAACACACCTATAACTAAAAAAGAAAGTACATGTTTAATGAAAGCAATAGCAAAAACAAGCCAGGTTAGTATAATTATATAAAAATTTAAAACTTGTATGTATAGTCAACAAAATAAAATGAAATACAAAGAAAGCACTAGAACGGAGAAATATTTGAGATAGCTCAGTGTTTAATATCATAATGTATAAGGACATGTTTCTCAGATTATGTTCAGGAGAACTTTAGATCAGACTGATGGTTCATACTGTAGGAAACAGCAAAATATTGATACATTTTATCCACTCATAATGTAAAATGTAATGTCAGTGAAGTTACTAAATAGTAAAATAACAACATGAAGAGTGATCCTGCCAAGGTTGTTGAGAAATTAGTCTATTTTGTAACTTTACTTATTATGATATTTGCTTCTTGTAATAGGAGTCACTAAAATTTTTACATTTAGCCAATAATCTCACTTACTGAAATTTACTTTAGGGAAAGAATTAAAGGATGTTGATCTTTTAAATAATTGCAATTCATTTGTTTTTTGTTTTTTGAGACAGGGTTTTACTGTTGTAGTCCAGGCTGGCCTTGAAGTGAGAGTGAATTTCCTGCCTCCACTTCCTGAATGTTGGAATTATAGGTGTGCACCACCATGCCTGACTATATTTACGTATTTGCAAAAAACACCCAAACCAGCCCATTTAATATTTGCTCTGCTGGATTTTGGTCTTGCTTTATTTCCATCTCTTTCCCCCTATTTGTGCCTTTTGGAATAGGAGTGTTTATCATGTGCCATTGTATGCTAAAAGTGTCAAAGTTTTAACATACTTTGACACTTTTAACATACAGTTTTCCTTTTCATTTTTATAGAGGCCCAAAGCTAAATCTCAGAGGAGGATTTGTACTTGGACATTTCAGTAATGCCAAAAACGTTAGGACGTTGGCAACTCTTACAGATGTACTGAATGCATTTTGCATAAAGAGATGCACACGAGTATTTTTGGGGGAGCAAGGGGCAGAATGTTGTAGCTTATATGTAGATGTTATCCCAAAACCTCATGCCCTTGTAGGTGGGACTTTTGGGAGTGACTGGATCATAAGTGTGTGATACTTAAATAGACCACTATTGGTTCAGCATAGTGGATAGTGGATTACTGAAGAGGAAAGAGCCATTCTGGTTGCAGGCGGCACCAACCAATAGGCTTATAGCCTCGATGGAATAAAAAGGGAAAGAAGGAAATCTGCTGCTTTCTGCCTGCCATGCCATAAACTATTTCTTTATTGTCCTGCCTTGCAGACAGATGGCTGTGGGCTGAAATATCTACAAGCTGCGAGCTAAAATAAACCCTTTTCTCCTTTAAAAACAGAAACAAAAACAAGGGCCAGGGATTTAGCTCAGCAGCATAAGCACCTGCCTGGCAAGCATGAGGTTGTGAGTTCAATCCCTGGAACCAGAAAAATAAACAAACAAAAACCAACCCAAGTACTACAGTTATAGTAGTTGATCAAATATAATGAACATTATTACATAGGAAATTAATAGTCATGGAAGTTTACTTGCTAAATAGTAAAAGTAAGATGCAAGATTTAATAAGGCTATATTTATTGTTGTGAAAAGTTTACTGGTAAATAAAAGATTAACCAATTCCCTAGTGACCTAGTCATTGTTATAAAGTCATAGGTACATCTTATCTGAGTTATTGGAATTTTCAAGTTTCTTTTATGAGTATGAGACAAAAGTTACATTGAGACCCTTAGTTGAGCATTTATGTCTTTCAATAACCGATAGTCTTTTTTTCCCTTGTTTTTTGTTAGTTTGTTTTTGTGCTTTTGTTTTTTGAGACAGGGTAGTACTGTGTAGTTAAGGCTGCCCTTTGAACCCTCACCTTTCTTCTTGGACTATTGGTGAGCTGCTCACATGCCCAGCTGTACCACCGACAGACTTTCAGAAGCTTCCTACAGTGCTAGACTCCAGCTCAGTGGTAGGGCACTTGCCTCTCATACTGAAGGACCTGAGTTTGAGCCCCAGCACAGCCAAAGACATCTGAAAACCAAAGATAAAAAACCCTAAGTTTTCCTGTTGTGTTTTATCCCCTAGTGTTTGTTCCAGTTTCTGGTAAATGTTTCTCATGCTAGAAAACCTGGGAAGCCAGCCATTGTACCTGTCTCTGTCAGCACCCAACACGACTCCATTCTGCAAATTAATAATACATTGGAAGAAAAGGAAGTTTGTAGGTTCGTGCCTGCTATTATTAATCTAACCAAAGATTGCATTTTCTCTGTGCTTTGCTTTTCCATATGGTTTGTTTTCCTGTCTTTAAAATGCATTCCTTCCTTCTCCCCCTCCACCTTTTCCTCACCTTCTCTTTTTCTTCCCTCCCCCTCCCCCTCCTTTCCCTTTTCTCCCCTTCTTTGAGACTGGGTCTGCATAGACCAGGCTGTCGCAAACTCACCATCCTCCTGCCTCAGCCACCATGCATAGTTAAACTATTTTTATTTTTTCCTGATCTGCACTTAGGAATGCACATCATTCTGCCTTGATGGTATTCACAAAGTCCAACTCTTTACATCCTAATCTAACCATTTGTCTTAATTTTATCTGATCTCTATAGGTTGCAATACAAATTTGGAGAGTTTGGAAACTATTCTCTCTTGGTAAAGCATACCCACAATGGGGTCAGTGAAATCACCTGTGACCTGGTTGTTAATAAGGATCCAGTTGACAGTAATCTTCGTATGTACATGTTCTTCATTGACTTTTAAAGTTTGCATTTTCACATACTTTAGATTTTGACTACTGTTTGTAAAATGAAGCAGTTCATGGTATTTTTTTATAATTAAAAGTCTAGACTATGGGTTATCCATACCATTTAGGTATGGTACAATTATATATTTCTTTTGGGGTTGGGATCAAACTTAAGACCTTGTGCATGCCAAGCATGGCTCTACCCAATGTACAGTATTTTTGTTGTGTCATTGATATACACGAAGCAAAATATGTCAAAAAATTATATATCATGTTCTCATATTGTTGTTAAGTTTGTGATAAGGCATAAATAAAAAAGTTAAAGCAGGAGAAAGAAACTTGAGATAGTGTAGTTGCTTTTCCTTGTGTGAGAATTTAGGATGTAATGTCTCCCATATATTTCCCATGGGCAGCCAGCCCAGGGGTTCTCCACTGTCTGATTGCTGCTGACAACAAATCTACCCTTCTGAGCCTCACTGGAGAGTACTGTGTGCATGGCCTTGCAGAAGCAGCAACAAGTCTTTAGGCATTCGTAAGACAGTTTGTAGGGCATTATCAAAGACGTGTGGGCTTTTCCCTCATTTGTTTCACTGTTCATTGGTAGGTTAAATGTACCACCTTGGCAACAATGATGTGCATGATGACATTTTTGGTGATCATCTTTTCTTTCCGTAGCTGTGAGTGTCGCATTCCTTGTTGGGCTAGTGGTCATCATTGCAGTGTCCTTCCTCAGGTTCTTGTTGAGGTAAGGTGCTGGGGAGGACCCAGCTGGGCAAAGTAAAACACAGAGGTTATGAGTTCAGAAAGGGCAGTTTGACCCCTCAAATGATTAGTGTTCTGCCCAGATGATGTTGCCCAGGTATTCTTTGATTAATCTGTGTTTACCCTATTCTAGTCCCCGGTATTAGAGAACCAATGTAGACTAAGACATAGTCTCTGAATATAGGAAAGAGATCCAGAAGGTTTTAGTGGGTTTTTACTTTTTTCTCATATGGTTGTAAGTGAAGACAGTGCTTGAGAAGCCATTATCCTGTTCATTCAGTGGAAGTGGCTTGTGGTCTCCTCCACCGCTGAGGCCACCTCTTCCTCTCGCTTTCCTGCTCCCAGACTAGTTCCTTTCACTTCAGAACAAGCATGGAGAAGAGAATTTATTGGGCCTTTTGCTTTGTTTTTTAATATCTTCTCCTTTTTCTTTTAAGTATGTCTGTTTTAATCTTTTGCATGTGAGCAATGCTGAGTAAAGTAGAAATGGGAGTTGGGTGGTAGGGAAAAAAGAAAAATTACAAATATATGCATTAGATGGATGGGTTGTATTTGGATACTGACTTTGAACAGTTGAACTGTAAATAAAACAGAACAAAAACCCCAGTACAAGCAGGAAATTGAACTGGCTATGTGATATTAAGGAATTATTGCCAACATTTTAAGATGTGATAATGGTTACCATAATTATTTTTAGAAATAAAAATAATCCATTCCTTTTAGAGATAAATACTATTGTATGGATAAAATGATATGATACAGAATTTTCTGTAAAATAATCTAACCAAGGCAGGATGGGAATATAGGTGGTGTAAGATTAGCTGTGGCTATTTGTTGAAGCTGAATGTTGGTGAGTCATTGTACTAGTTTCTCTACCTTTCTATGTGCTTAAAAATTTTCATGATAAAAGATGAGGGGAGAGTCTGTGCATTAGATATTTCAGATGTGGCAAAGTAATGCAAGACATGTTGGCTTTTTCTAGGCTAAGGTATACTCTTTGAAAGTTTTTTCCCCCAAGTTAGAAATCTCATTTTAAAGGATAATCAACTAATATATTTACCTTTCAGTAATCGTGTACAGTAAATCCCCGTCTTACAAACAAGTTCCATTCTGGAGAACATTTGTAAGTCAGATTTGTTTATAAGTTGGACAGAATGAGTCTTGTACAGTACATCTGTGAAAATTTACAACATGAATGTTTTTAAGACAGGGACTTACTTTGACAGGGAATCACTTTTATGTTATCTGGATTTTTAAAAGTTAAAACAATCACATAAAAAAAGCCAATCATTACTATCACTGCAAAGTTGGTTTTGTACTGTCTCAATGTGCATACGTGCAGTTTTATTTGGCTGCAGTCAAACACAGATGTAATGTAGGATTTTGCCTTTTGTTTTTACTGGGAATCCCACTCAAGGCCGTGTACCTGCCAGACAGGTGCTATTCCACTGAGCTACATCCCTGGGCCCTTTGCACTTTATTTTGAGATAGGGTCTTGCTAAGTTTCCAAGGCTGGTCTTAAACTTTGATCCTCCTGCTTTAGCCTCTTTCCTAACTGATTTTTGCTTTCCATGTATAATAATTTATCCTAAAATTTCTTTGTGAGTGGACAAAGTGTTCTTGTTTGTTTGTTTTTTGGCAGTACTAGGAATTACTCAGGACCTTTACATTGAGCTGCATCCTTAACCTTTTACATTTACCTTTTTTTTGAGACAGGGTTTCCGTAATTTGCTCCCAGCCTGAGCTCAAACTTGGCAGTTCTCCTGCCTTGGCTTCTCATTTCTGAGATTACAGGTGCATGCCACCACAGTTGGCTCAAAGTCCACATTCTCGTTGTCATAGCTTATGTTACAACTGCGTATACTGTTTTGAGTTGTTCCTACACTGAGTGAATTTGGTAGTTGCTAATTTTTTTTTTTTTGCAGTTTTAATAGTAGTATTAATAAGAACCCTGGCCACAGAGAATAGTCATTTCGTTTAACCTTCACAGTTTTTCATTAAAGGCTCTATTTTCATTCTTGTTTTGTTGCTGAGGAAATTATGCTTTCAGAGTTGAACATTTACAAGTGTGGCTGCTATAAACTTTGATTTCGAAATTTATGTTAAAATGTTTTCAGAATGTCTAGTTCCTTAAGTAATACAAACTATGAACCTGAAATTAATTTTATTTTAATATGATATTCAATCACTTTGAAAATTCTGTTAAAGAAAATAAGTTAATTGAGGTTTTTATTTTACAGTTTGGAAGACTTTAATAATTGGGTTTCTAAGGCAATAAATTCTCAAGAAACTGATCGTCTCATCAATTCTGTGAGTTGTTAGATTGCATCATGTATTGTCTGGATAGCTTTTTAAATTTAGAAATTACAGTTTCCTACTTAAAAATTATTATGCAACTTAATACAATTTTTTCCAAAGACAAGTAAACATTTATATTTATATTTATATTTATATTTATATTTATATTTATATTTATATTTATATTTATATTGCAGAAGATCAGGTCATGAGTCCTGATTATGTGTGTGCATGTGTGTGTATGTAATGTGAGAGATCAAACTCGGAGCCTGACACATGCTAGCAAGAATTCTACCACTGAGCTGTGCTCCAGGCCTTACCCTCAGTGTGGTAAAGGGCCCAGCCCTCTCTTTTCTTTAATGAGATAGGAAGCCTGGGCTGCACTAGGATGTAGGATTTGGATACATTTTTTCACCCTGTAAGCCTGACTATTGAATTGATTTAGTTCACTGGAGAACTCAAGATTAAAACAAAAGAATAGGGACACCAATGTTAACTGTATAAATGCTGATGGTTCACTGTAATGATGGACCATGGCATTAAATCTGTGCTGACACACTGTGTGCATGTTTGCTTCTGTGCTAGGACTGGCATACTTCATGAAACAGAGTATCTTTAGCTTAGCAAAATGCAGAAAAAACAAAAAAAATGTAGAGACAAATTGCTAGGTAGGATTTTTACAAAAGTAAGTGAAAGTTTAGTTCAAAAAAACTTTACTTCTCCACTCTAATTTCTTCCCTGCAGTATCAGATAATAAGATATATAGATGAGTTTGGTAGCCCACATCTATAATCTCAGCATTGTGGGCATTGAGGCAGGAGGATTGCAAGTTTGAGCCCAACTGGGGCAATTTAAGAGACTTAGTGAGACCCTGTCTTCAAAAAATTAAAGAAATAAAGTGGGTGGTGGGGGCAGGCAGTGGCGCTGGGGATATATCTTAGTACAGAGGTCTTGGGTTCAATCTCTAGTACTATAAACAAATAAAACTAAATTTTGTTCTTAGTATTATTAATTCTCATCTCTTTCTTCCTTTTGTGTGAAGGACCTAGGATCCCCCAGTAGGGCAGACCTACTTACTGGTGAACCTCAACCAGAAACACGATGTCTGCCTGCCCCAGGGTACCGCCTCCGCTGCCTGGACACTTTTAGGGGGTAAGTGGGGTCCGCCTCTGCCTGGACACATTGGAGACAGGTCCTCCTTGGATTACATAATTATATATAAGCATACTTTCAGGTCCTTTACCATTACTTTGTAGGCTAGAAAGGGCTTCTTGGATTTAAAAATAAAAGTCAGTTGCATCTCCTTACTTGAAAATTGTCATAAGGATCTGGAGCATACTTCATGGCAGAGTGCTTCCCTAGCATCATAAAGACAAGCAAGCAAAAATTAAAACAATAAAAAAGCAAAAACGAAAATTGTCATCATGTCCAGTATTATATGTTGATAGAGTGGAGTGGTTAGAATAAGGGCAGAACCAGTTACTGGCATGTGTAATCTGTTCAGTTAAGCTTTTTTATGTTTGAGCAAGTGGCTATACTTGTGTTTGTGCCACTATGTCTATGGTCTGTAGACTTGACGAGAGACGTGCCAGTACAGAAACAACTGTGTGTGAAAAAGAGTGTGTGTCCTTTGCTATTAGCAGAGGACCTGAATTTCAGGCTCTTCTAGTGCAGACCCACAGTTAATACAGTAAGTTGTTACTGTCATGTGTTCTGTATGTGCTTGTAGTAGAAGCACAAACACCAGGAGCACAGTGGGAGAATAAAGTAGTAAACTGTGTAGCCAGCAAGGTAAATACATAGTTACCAGTCCTACCCACCAAAGGCTCTGGAACTCCCATGATGACTATAATGTCTTCCAGTGCCTGGGGGAGAGACACACACGTGACCACACCATGACAAGACTTGGGAGCCCTGCGGAGCCACGATAGGCCTGGGGTGCATCTCAGAGGGTGGGAAACTGTCAGAAGTTTATGGGGAGTGCTGTGTGCTGGGTTTGGCGTGGGCAGCAGATTAAAGCAATGAAGTAATCCTTGAAGATAAGTGGGCAGTTCTCCTTAAGTATAATTTTTAATGGTGTTAGTGTAAATGGAGCCAGAAGTTGTTTCTAGTTTGGAGGTTTACATAACCTTCCATTTGTCAGAGAGACCAGCAGATCATGTTTAGATTAGAGGACCTATTCACCCTCTCCTTTTTTACTATCTTTGTGGCAAAAATTTGGTTGCATTATTTTGAATTGTGTTCAGTCTAGGTTTTGTGGCATGAACCTAACTCATGCTTTATTTAAAAAAGTAAAACAAGCCATTGTACTCAATGTGGACATCTTAAGAAACTGGTGACATTATTTTACATATATCCAAAGAACTCAAGGAAACATAAGCTTCCTCAGAAGTGTGCTTTTTAAGATTATATTCCTTTTTACTCTATGCAAAATGAGAACTTTTATAGCATTTATAGGAAATTATACTAGTACCTAAGAACCAAAACAAAGTTGCAAAATCTGTTGAGTAATTTAAGATTTCTTTTTTAAGTGAAAATTTTTTTCACTTAAATCTATTTGTATACATTGTTCTCTCTTTGAATAAGCAACTAAGTAAAAACTAAAGTAAAAAATATATAAAACCCACTAAAAATAAAAGACTAAGGGCTGGGGATTTAGCTCAGCGGCACAAGCACCTGCCTTGCAAGCGCGCAGTTGTGAGTTCGAGCCCTGGTACTGATTTAAAAAACAAAAAAACTAAGTAAAAATCTCAGGTGTAATTAAAAAACTAATGTAGCAATATAGAACCTTACAGACTAAATTTTTCTTGGTTCAAGGTTTAAATAAAAAACTGAATGAGATAGGCAGCTCTCCTCCAGTAAATGAAAAAAAATGAAAACTATTCATGCAAATGGAGAAATGGTAAACTAGGTGCCAACAATAAAGAGCAAACATCTGGGTGATTGTGGAAAAACAAACCTGAACCTTTCAGTTTAAATCCCAGTTTGAAACACATCAGCACAGTTCCGTTTAAGTAGAGCTTTCTTGGCAGACCAGCAGCATTTTCTGTTCAGTATTCCCAAGAAAGCATGTCATCAACTGTATTTCTGGTCCTTCCACCTTCTCAGGTTCTTGACCCCTGCTCTTCCCTTCTGCTGGTTCCACAATGCACACCCAGACGGTTTTGGAAGGGGAGTCTATATTCTGATTTCAAGTTGGAGGAGAAAGTTGCTTCTGGTCTACATTCTGTTTTCTAAGAATTTTTACTTAAGCAAATAAATACAGTGTGGGATTGTAGGAGAGAACAAAGCTCACGATGGCTATATTAGGATTCAGGCTATGTGTAGGGGATGGTTTCCAGACTACATTAAAGTTCAAGGCACACACATGCCTTGTGGCCTTTTTGTATATGCCCAAAGTCAGTACTTGCAAAGTGCTACAGTTCTTATTTTTACTGTAAATGTAGATGGCCACAAGGGCTGCTAGGCTGGCTGGAGGAGGCCAGTTAGGAGGAGCTGGACAGATAAAAATGAACTGAGCTGGGCTGCAGAGCTGCTAACTAAGGTTTCTAACCAGCCTATGGCTGTGCATCTGTTCTTTGAGCTGCCTGAATCTTGAAGGAACCTTCCCAGTCTAAACAGGTGAATTAAACAAATGAATGAACATCTCCCAAGGCATACTTACACCAGCTTAGATCTTAAAGGTCCTGAAAGCACTTCCCTTCAGTGTCCTATTCAGGAGGCTGATCACATTAACTGATACACAAAGAGTATATGCTTTATTGCAACTACAAACTTTGCTCAACGTGATAGCATTCTTCCTGCTAAACACTCATTGGCCCAGTTATAGGAAATGGACAGTACCTTTGCAGTGTAACACGAGTGCTTGGGACTTGTTGCACCTCAATTTCCTGTGCAGCCTGATGCTCCATGTAATCAGTCCAGAGTGCCGTGCAGTATGTACACCCCACACATTTGTGTTGCATTCTTGAAGATCACTTGAAGTATCTATTTTTTTTTTTTTTTTTGGTACCAGGGATCAAACTCCCTAATCACCCTAACCCTAAGCCTAACCTTCCTGAGTGCTGAGATTACAGGCATGCACTACCATGCCTGACAAAGTATTAATACTGAGAAAAGCTGATTAGGTTAATGTACATTAGTTTCTATATGCTCCATAATCTTCCACTTCAGTTTTTTTATGTAGTTATGGATCTCAATGAAATTTATATAGAGGATTTAATTTTCCTTTAAACTACAAAATACTAAGCACCTTAAAAATATTAAAAAGTTAATTTCTTCTCAGCTCACCAGGGTTCTTAAGTACTCCTGGTAGGTCTGTTTGAAAGCAGGACATAATGGTTGAGTATCCCTCATCCAAAATACTAAGAAACAGAAGAGTTTCAGATTTTGGAGTATTTTCATATAAATAATGGCATATCTTGGCTAGGACTAAAGTTTAAACATAAATTTTGTTTTGTGTACATAGCCTGAAGATAATTTTACGTGTTGTTTTAGTGTGCCTGTGTGTTTTCATTTTTGGGTTTGGTGGGTTGGGGGATTGAATGTAGTGTGTCACATTCTGGCACACTTCTCTAGCTGTGAGCTATGCTTATAGCCCTGAGCCTGTGTGGAATTTTCCATCATGTCAGCCTTCAGAACCTTTTGGATTTGGGAGCAAATCCCGTTTTGGGATTTTCAGATTGGAGATATGTACTGGTAATAAAATAATGATAACCATTGATGTCAGTTTCCAAATTTTAGATGCCAGGCATTGTTCTGGTGTGTCAGCATTTGTAATTTATTTAATTTTTCAACAATCCGTATGAAGTATATACTTTGAATATACCTGTTTTACAGATTGAAAAATTGCATTGAGTTAAATAATTTCCCATGGGCCCTTCAGACACTAAAGGAAAAAGAACTTGATTCTAAGCAGTTGCATTACAGAGGCTGCAAAGATTACTCCTTCAACATCTTCATCCTCAAAATTCTGCATAGTTTACGTAAAAGCAATGGTGTGAGCTGAGTGTGGTGGCTCACGTCTGTCATTCCAGCACTTGGGAGGCTGAGGCAGGAGGATTGCTGTGAGTTCAAGGCCAACCTGAACTGCATAGTGCAACTCTGTCTCAAAAAGACAAAAAAAAAGAAAAAAAGCAAGCAGTAGTGTATTCCTGTTTTTTCCAATCATGATTGCCACTTTTGGAAATGAGATATTCACAGATGGACAGAAACTAACATTTAGGCACATTAAGTATCTAAAATGTACCAAGCATTAGGCACTACCTTGCATATTTTTCTTGGTAGTGGTCTCATGTGGAATTTTCCTTCTCTTACAGATAAGCACAGAGTTAGCTTATGAGAGTCTAATTACTTAGAGTCTCATGACTGGTAAGAGGAAAGGACTCAAGATTTGAATCTTTAGCCCTTTGATACAAATGACTTTGCCTGCTGTGACAGATATTTTAACTTAGACATTAAATTACTAAGGCGAAATTAAGTCACTGGAAGTGTTTTGCTCTGTTGTAAGTTATATGGTTTAGTAGTGCAGTGTAAATTTTTCTTGATGTTGTAAATGTTGACAGTAGAACTTTAGTATATGATTCCAATTGTGATTAGAAAATAATAGTTTCTTGCTCTTTAAACCTTGTTTTGTCATAAAGTGCTCTTTACAGTCATGTTAATTGCATGACCACACCTTATGAAGTTAAATGTATATCTTGTGGTTCAGCAGTTCCTTGTCACATTGCAATTCCTGAAAGTATTTTCTTTGTTCGCTTTATAGGATAGCTCTCATCCTCATGGTCTTCGTTAATTATGGAGGAGGAAGATACTGGTACTTCAGACATTCCAGTTGGAATGGTAAGATATTTCCTACAGGTAGCACTGCTTAAAGCTAGCAGACTAGTTTACATACTTCTAGTTTGGTTTTCCATGTCTAGTTATGATCAGGAAATGTCCCAGACCCAGAGATTGACAAAAGAGTCTCAAGCGGGAGCTTGTAAATGCCTTACCATTGTCTTTGAGTTGCACTGGCTGTATCAGTATGTGCTGACGTGCAGTTTGGATTTAACTGTTTACAAGAGTTCCCTTTCTTATTATTAACACATATGTTGTTCTACAGGACTGACAGTGGCTGACCTGGTATTCCCATGGTGAGTTGGCAGTATACTATCGACCTCTTTTTAAAAAAACCAAAAAAAAAACAACAACAACCACAACCCAATACAGTAACATACAGGTTTACAAAACAAGATGATAGGAATTTGACAGTGGTTGTAATATTGCATATTGTTACCTTCAAAAGGGTTGCTTAGAATAACATACAGACATGTAAAACTGATCTAATGATATGAATAGTAACTATTCTTTTCCAATAGCGAATACAGTTAATAATGCATCATCAATTTTAGCTATCTTATATATAAAAATACAGAAATTTATGTCTTTTCTTTTTCTCTTCCTTTTTTCCTCCTTTGCCCTATCTCAATTAATTTTCCTCTTTGAGTAATTTCTTCCCCTACACAGTATTTATTGTAGATTTGGTTCACGTATACTGTTTCAGTTTCTTATACTAGGGAGACAACATGGTGTTTACACATGTGAGTTTGATTTATTTCACTTATGAGTATGATCTCAAGTCATGTCCATTTACTTATGAAAGTCTTGATGCAGTCTTTTTTTTTATAACTGAGTAGTATTCTATTGTATAAAAATACTACATCTTTTTTATCCATTCCTTGATTGATGGGCACTGTGGCTGTTTCCAAGGTTTAGCTATTGCAAATTGTGTTGCTATAAACATGGATGTACATATATTGGTGTGATATGATGTTTTAAGTTCTGGGAAATTGCCCAGAAGTAGGATAGCTGGGTCATATGGAACCTCTAATCCCCGCTTTTTGAGGAATCCCCACAGGATTTCCACAGTGGTTGCACTAGCCTATCCTCTCACCAACAGGGGTTTTTCCTCACAGCCCCTCCAACATTTGCTATTGGACTTCTATCTAGAACATACAAAGAATTTTAAAAAATCAGGCCCCCAAAATTCAAGGACCCAATCCAAAAATGGGCATCTGAGGTGAATACACACTTCTCAAATGAAGAAATACAAATGGCAAATAAATATATGAAAAAATGTTCAACATCAATGGTCATTTTGAAAATGCAAATTAAAACAACCCAGAGATCCCACCCCAGAAACAATGGCCAGGATCAAGAAACCAATACCATCAACCTATGATAGGTCATCTCTAGGTTTTAGTCTTTCAGATGGTGCTTAAGTCCCTCTCTCAGACAAGCCTTTTGTTTGGGACCACGAAATTGTCTTTGCTGTTAGGAATTTGTTCTAAAGTTGTGTTTCTGGTTTTGTTTTTAGTTTTTAGTTTTTGTTTTTTATTGTGTGAGATTGAACCAAGGGTCTTCACACTGATTGACATCTCCTGCCCTTTTTTTATTTTTATTTTGAGACAGGGTTTCACTAAGTCACTAATTGCCCCAACTGCTCTTGAACTTGAAATCATCCTGCCTTAGCCTCCCCCAGGTATGATTGTAGGTGTGCATCACCATGCCTGGCTTTTGGGTAGTTCTTATATTTGGCATTATGCTTATGCATGTGTATGTAAAGGACAAGTGATTGTTTTAAATGTGTGTGTGTGGTGCTGGGAATTAAGCCCAGGACCTCATGCATGCTAAGTATATGCTCAACTGTCTAGTATAAAGTAGCCCAGAAATGAATGATTTTGTAGGGAGCATTACATTAGAGCAGATAAGAGATGCTGTATTTTGAAATTCTGTAGAATATCATAAATTCTGAATATATGGTTAAATGCCACTATACCTGAAAATGTGTAAAATTATACTTCCTAAAAGAAATATAGTATATTGGTATCTGTGCTTACTGATAAATACGGAACACACAATGATAGTGATAAATTAAAATTCAGTGTAAGAGTTAAGCAACCAAACTCTGTTTCTGTTTACCCATGGCTCCTTACGTTCAGTAAGGTACACTTTCCGTATGATATGCAGTTTGTACCTTGGCTGTGATGCTTTGAGTAATTCTGTTCCATCATTAAGGGACAGTGCCAGGAGACTGTTTTATGTCTTTAGTCCTTTGTGTTTTATCACTGATACAACTCAGTTTTAGAGGAGAAACTGATTGTTTTTTGAAATAGATATGGTAGGGTAAGTTTCACATGCCTGGAAACCTGATTCCCATCATTATGTTTATTTTTGTAATAATAGCCATTGAATTCAGGAACTGTCTACTACCTTGTTACATCTACAGCCTATTGTTGTTATTGTTATTATTTTGAAACCAATGCTGCAAAGTTACCCAGGCTGGCTTCCAGTTTATAATCCTGCCTCACCTTCTTACTGGCTGAGATCATGGGTGTGAATCTCTATGCCTGACCTGATAATTATTTATGTCTGTTCTGTGGAAGGCTTCTTGTAGACAAATTTCCTGGGTTTTCTTTTTTATTTTAAAGAGGATAAAGCAGAATAAAACCAATCAAAACAAACCAATGTAAGAGATACAGGACTTCAAAACATTATGACATGAACACTAGTTACCATAATGCCTTTTGATGTCTTCAAAATAGCTGCAGATAACTTCACACATAGTAAAAATCAAACAGAACAGAATAGAAACAATAAAAATAAAAATGAATGCAATGAAGGATTTCCAGCAAGCCAATAGTAAATGCAAAGTTGCTACTAGAATATATCTTGCTATCCTTGGAACAACTTCTCTTGCCAGATTTAAACTTAACCCAACAAAACAGATAAAACTTAACCCAACAAAACAATCGATACAGGACCTCAAAACAAGAATGGAGGGAGTCAACAATGGCTGCAGCCCTCAGAAGGAGGTCCCCTGGATGCTACACTGTGTACCCCTAGCCTCTGAACCCATTATCAGCCCACTAGCCCTAGACCCGCAATGTTAGTGAAACTGCACTGCACTGCAGACATCCAACTACATTTCACCTCGATAGCTATCATTGCAGCCTGTGTTTCTCTGGATAAGCTGGTCACTTACGGGGTGGGGGGATTGGTCTGTCTTGTTGGCCACCTCGTGCACTGGAAGGGTCTGGGGTTTGGCCGTTCCCATTCTGGCAGCAGCCTGTGCATGGTGCAGGTTCCCAGACTGGGCTTATTTGCCGGTGCGGCCATTATTGTCTCTCCCTGCTGAAATTTCCTGTTACTAGAGGCTTTTTTTCTTCCCAGTACTGGGGATTGAACCCAGGGCTTTTGCACTCAGCTATAGTCCCAGCCCCAGCCCCCTTTTATTTTTCATTTTGAGATATGTTCTAATCAGTAAGTTGCTCAGGCTAGACTTAAACTTGTGATCCTTTTCTTTCAGCCGGTCAGAGTGCTGGAGTCACAAAGGTTTGCCCCATGCCCCACTTCCTAGTGCTTTTTATCCGATTGGGGTGACCCCAGAAAGGAAGCCAAGGCACCCCCAGTTATGCAACAAGAGTCACCTCATCTCCATGACTATTAACCAAATAACTAGAATAATTAGCAGTATGACTTTTTTTTTAAAAAGACAATTTTGTATGGCAAAAGGACATGTGACTCCAACCAAAAGGAGAGAAGAAAATGCTTTTTCTTTCAGAAGCCAGTGGGTTTAGAAGTGATTGAAACCTTTGTTTCTCAGTGCCATTGAGGACGTACTAGAGAAAGTCTGGTTGTATGTTAGGCATCTTCACTATTTTTCTCTAACGGTTAATTGAAAGGGTTGTGCTTGGAAATTCTATTTAATACTAAAACATTTTGCTTTGAAGGCAGGTCTTCAAGATCTGTTGCCAGAATCCTCAAAGTACAGGAGGACACATTCCAGCCTCTCCCTCTGCGCTTGGCTGACTGTTGTTGGCCACTTTAAACTGACATCACGTTGCTTCTGTCTGGTAGTCTGTAAAATATTAATGATGCAAGATGAAAAATCAGAAAGGACAGCATGGATATAATCAAAGTAGGCACATTGAAACCCAGTATTTTGTAAAGTTAATAGGCATTGATAATAAAAGGAAAAAATTAGAAATGGATACATACTAATAGATTTTTTTTTTTTTAGGTTCGTATTTATTATGGGATCTTCAGTTTTTCTGTCAGTGACTTCTGTACTTCAGCGGGGATGTTCAAAATTAAAATTACTGGGGAAAATTGCATGGAGAAGTTTCCTTTTAATTTGTATAGGAATTGTCATTGTGAACCCCAATTATTGCCTTGGTCCATGTAAGTATGTTTTTACCCTTTGTTAGTATATATGCAGGTTGAACTCTGGAAAAAGCTTGTTATAATTTATAACCCTGTTTGTTTATAACCCTATTTATTGATCCATCGCATTGCTAGAAAGTGAGCCCCGAGCATGTGCGTGCCACCAAGCACTGAATCAGTGTATCTAAGCTGCATCTGCAGCTCCGTGTGAAAGAAATGTAATTTCTTCATCTCAGGTTTCTTTTTTTTTTTTGTCTTTTTCTTTTTTTATTGGTACCAGGGATCAAACTCAGGACTGCCTGCTTGCAAGGCAGGCGCTTATGCCGCTGAGCTAAATCCCCAGCCCTCCATCTCAGGTTTCTGCAAAAAGAACTATTATTAGAAAAGCATATATAATGCTTATGTAACTTTAAGTGTTATTCCTATTACCATTTTGGACTTTTAGACCTAGGAGGAGCCTTTGTGATGATTCAAATTCTTTTGTTGTTTGGAGAGAAAGTCTGACACCATAAGAGGTCACATTTTTTCTCTAGAGTGTAGAGTGTAGAGTAGGGCAGAGCAGGGACAGACCAGGTCAGCTTAATCTCAGGCCTTGCTTTCTGACCATTTGTCTCTCTGTCTGTCTGTCTCTTTCTTTCTTTCTTTTGTCCATATGGAGTAGTAGTTTTGAGAAATGCTTTATTATCCTCTGTATACTAGCTAGGTTGCTGGAACGGATGATGGCTTTGTCATTCCCGTAACAGTATGTGATAGACAGAACTATCAGGGGAAGCATGTAAGCTCCATGTTCTGTAGCATCAAAGAGCAGTAAATCTTTTTATTTTAATTTTATTTTGAAAGTATACAACAGAACAAGACAGAATAAAGCCAACTAAGATCGTACAGTGAAATTAGTACAGAACTTCACAGCAGGTTATTGGGATAACAGTAATAGGTATCACAGTATATTTTGTTATCTTTATAATAGTTGTTCTTTCCATCACATATATCAAATTGAGATGAAATATAGAACACTGTAGAACTTATCAAAACACAATATTGAATAGAGCAGTACCATTAATCAGAAAAGAGCAAAACAGTAATAAAAATATTTGCCTTCAAAGAAATGGTAGAAGGAAGTCCCCCTTATTTGCTATGGTCAACCTCCCAGGAGATGCTCAGATTTCTGGTTCCCATTTGTTAATGGGTGGTTGCGTGGGGGAGAGAAGGTGGGTAGGGGAAGTGGGATATTTGACTCTAGGCCGTAAAGAGCAGTAAATCTTAACCTCAAGTGGATCTCATTAGCCAAACAGGACCCCAGGGTTTCAGCAGAAGCCAAAAGCTCTTAGGCAGTACTTTCACTGAAAGGTGGGTGACACTAGGAGGACCGAGCAGTCACTTGTGGTTGATGTTGTGTAAGAGAGGATTTGATGGACTTCGATAAAGGAGCTTTGGCTCTAGGTAGGGTTCATTCCAGGGTTTGATACAGGCTCACAGTTTCCAGCAGTGCTGTTGTGTCACAATTAGGTCAGCGAGAGTCCCTCAGCGGCTTGTGTTGGATGTGAAAGTTGAATCCATATGCTTGATGGGAAAGACCAGCAGATGAAACTCTGGGCCAAGAGTAGTCCTTACCTTATCTCTCCTTCTAAGTAAGGCATGTTTATTCTATCTCCCAACTTACCAGCTTTCTGGTTTGAGTTTGAGCCTTCTCCTGACCATCCGTCCATTGAGTAGGACTGGCCTGCTCTCTTAGACCTGCAGTTTGAGTCGTGTCTCCTGACCATGTATATTTCTGTCTCTAAGAACTTGAAAGCACTTACTTAGATCTAATATAGGTGCAGCTTCCCTTTAGAAAAGAAAAAATTCTGCCTTGAGTTGAGGTGTGGCATGTTGGTCACGCCTTACCCAGTGTGTCTTTGGCAGTGTCTTGGGATAAGGTCCGAATTCCTGGTGTGCTGCAGCGGTTGGGAGTGACGTACTTTGTGGTTGCTGTGTTGGAGCTCCTGTTCACTAAACCCGTACATGAAAACTGTGTCTCGGTAAGAAGTCATGTAGAAATATGATTAAAAAGTAGGAGGTGTGTGATAAATTCACCAAGTTTTTAGAACTTTTTTTGTTCCGAGTGTAATACTGCCAGCTAATCAACTGCATTCTTTTTAAAAATATTTTTATTAATCTTTGTGTGTATGTGTGTGTGTGTGTGTGTGTGTGTGTGTGCGCGCGCACGTGTGTAAGTAGTTCTGAGGATTTATACCAGGGCCTCACATATGCTTGTCAGATGTTCTACCACTGAGCTCTCTAGTTGCTTTTTAACTACTATTTTACTGTAATGAATGCTAGAGCATGTAGACAATGTCAAACCTATTAAATAAACTTTTGTATCACTGTTAAAAGATCAGAAAACTAATCTCTGGGATTAGTTTCTAAAATATATACTGTAATTTCGTCCCCTTGTATTTGCATCTGTACCTACACATTTGCCTACTTACTTAGTATTTTCTAACCCTGCCCCTCACTCAGGACAGAAGATTCCCTTTCCTTCGAGACATCACCTGCAGCTGGCCCCAGTGGCTCCTCATTCTGCTGCTGGAAAGCCTTTGGCTGGGCTTGACATTCCTATTACCAGTTCCTGGATGCCCTACGTAAGTGAGCCGTTGCCACACAATCCCCTTTGCATGTCACTTTCCTCCAAAGGCTCTGGGTTCATAGCTTTCAGATTTCTCAAGTCAGAGAATTTCTTTTGACTCTTTTTCCTCTTTTGAGATATGCTTTGTGACCAGAGACAGAACATTTTATGTTGTGTTAAATTTGAGGTGCATTCAAGGGTGAAAGAATTTGAGTTGAAATCAGCTGGGCTTTGTGCCTTTACAGTATTGGGAGCAGGGAAGTCAAGTGTTGATGAGGGTGCACGGAGTCAGAGGGACATTTTAGATTTTACCTATTTGAGGCTCTTTGAATGAGGCTACATAAATATGTGCTATCTACCACTCTCCCATCTAAAGTCTCATTATTTAAATGTGTTCACTTCCTAGTGGGTACCTGGGCCCTGGTGGGATTGGAGACTTGGGGAAATACGTAAACTGCACTGGAGGAGCCGCAGGCTACATTGACCACCTGCTCCTGGGAAGTGATCACCTGTACCAGCACCCTTCTTCTGCGGTGTGTGAGGCTGGCTTTACACGGGATAAGGCTTTGAAGTTCTGAAGTGGGGGAATATAAAACGAGTCGGCCTGTTTTAAGTTATCTCTGTTTAGTGAAGTGATAGGAACTAATTTTTATTTGAAAAGTTAGCTAACTTAATGCATTTATCATGTGGCAATAGGCAAATGTTATTTTAGACAAAGTAACAGTGAACTGTATAAAATGAGAGTAGCATTTAGTGCTTTTATGTATATCTCAGGTCAGATTCTCAGGTAGTGGACTCTGAAACAGAGATTCCTGTGCAAGATGTAGAGAGTCTTTGCTGGATCAGTCCCTGCTGGAAAGGAAGGAAGCAGAACTGGGCAGAGGGAGCAGTTGAACTGCACTGCAGTCCCAGCAGAGAAAGGCCGGGGGAGTCGGGGTGGCGCTTCAGGGCTGTACGCATGGAGGTGAAGCACTGGGCCCGTCAGCTTCCTTGTTGGGTATGGACTGCCTAGCAGCCGGTGACGCAGAACTTCAGAGACAGCTCGCTCGCTTGCTCTCTCTTTTTCTCTGCAGTACTGGGGATGGAACTCAGGGCCTGGCACACACTAAGCAAGCGCACTGCCTCTCAGCTACAGCCCCACACCAGCAGTGTTTTTAGTTTAGGGCAATCTGGAAGAACTCGCCTGAGAGCTGTTAGCAGTTAATTTTTCTAGTAGCTGGAGAATGAAAGCTTTGGTCATGAAAGGGTGGAAGGGCCTGGGTGTATGCTGTGCAAATACACTACATTTACAAATTTCTCCGCAGTTAGCATTTATTTTAATGGCAAAAAAACGCAGGTTTATTTTATTATTTTACTGTGTTTTGTAGATGCTGGGGATTAAACCCAGAGCCTTGTGCATGCTGTACATCCACTCTACCACTGAACTATATGCCAAATAACTCAAATGTATTTTTAAATATTATTTGCCTTAAGAGAAGATAGGAAGTGGTCATTGCCACATAGGGTTCAACAGAAAGAAATAACTGAAAATTATAAAGATATCATACATTGTATATGAAATTATTCAAGTGGGAACTAGCACTGTTTACTGAGCCAAATGAAGTTGAAGGGGCCATTGCTGGGTCCTGGCTTGTCCCTGGGGCTCTGCGAACCCTGGACACACCACACATTTGCATGCCCAGGAAGTATTCTGCCTGTGAGCCCCATAAGTTAGTAGTGAACCTTGGCAGCAAAAGCAAAACCAGACAAAATAAAAAACATTGAATCCAAGGTTGCAACATTCAGGTTTGTGTTAGGCTGAGAGTTGTTTGTGTTCATTTCCATGGTCAGTAAATAAAGGCTGCCTCTTGGTTCCGTTTTGTGAAGGTGCTGTATCACACCAAGGTGGCCTATGATCCAGAAGGAATCTTGGGGACCATCAACTCCATTGTGATGGCGTTTTTAGGAGTTCAGGTATTTGCTCATTTCAGTAGTCTACATTTTTTCTGACAGTTTATGATGATTGGTTCATATCATCTGTGTTACGGATCTAATAAATTCTGTTCAGGTTCAACAGATTATGCAAAACCAGAAGTTCCTAAAACTCAGCACAAATAAGTATAATTCTTACATTCTGAATAAAATTTCTTATGTGTGTGGCTTATGTTAGCCAAGCAGTTTGGGTAAAAGATTTCCCTACTGAAATGTGCAGTGTGTTCAGAGTGACACTGAGAAGTCACCTAATCATTGGTACCATTTACTGTTTGTATACTTGTCTTAGTGTGTTTTTGATGCTGTAAAACAAATACCAGAGGTTGGATAACTTCTAAGGAGCAGGAATTTATTCCTTGCAGTTCTTCAGACTGGAAAGTCCCAGGTCAGGGCACTGGCAGGTGTATGTTCTGGCAAGGGTCCGGGCCCTGCTTCTGAGATGGTGCCTTGAACTGATCGTCTTGCAGAGAGGAAAGGCACTGTGTCCTCACTGTGCAGGGTACAAGGGCAGAGCCTGCTGCTCCAAGCCGTTTCATAGGGTTTCAAGTGCGTTCATGAGGGCAGTGCTGTTAGACATGCACACTGTAGCCAACACTGTAATGGTTTCAGACTGTTCATATTTTCTACCAAAGTCAATGCAGGTTTTTCGTCCTTGAATGAACTTTCGCTAAAATTCTGAGTAGTCTATATTTTTCTTCCTAAAGTTCTCTTTCCTGGTGTTTCAACTATCGTTTGAGGGAGGGGAAGTGAGAACCGTGCAAAGCTGTGTGTTGGGTGGTGAGCATGTTTGTCACGCATGCTGCCTGCTGGGCAGCCCCTGGCCAGAGGGCTGTGGAGAGCCTGAGCTGTGGGAAGCATGGTTGAGGAAATGGGTTTTTAGCTTACTTTTAAGTGATTCGGTTCTAAATTTACAGTCCTGTAGCTAGTGACTCCCATATTGGATAGCACAGATGGAAAGCATACACATTTTTGTGATTAAATCATTTTGTAGTTAGGGATTACCACACTATCACCGTAGCACCATCTAGTGCATACTGTGTTTTAAACAAGCTCTCTAGGTACATCCCTGCCGGCTGAGGTGCTGGCTCACCCAGTGCGGAGTCTGAATGTGGCCTGCAGCCGCAGTAGGGTGGAGTGCGATTCCACCCCTTTCTCTGGGTGGTCTCAGGCAGTGACACTGGTGCCTTGTCTTAGGATTTTAGGGAAGATGACTAATTTGTGTTTGTGTGGGAAGATGACTACAGTCATGTTTGTCACCTGACGTGGAGCTCATGGACAGAAGCCAAAGCTTGCCAAACACTGTTTGTGAACCAAACTGTTGGCAACAGAAGCGCTTTGTAAATCAAGCACTATGTTATTTTACCTCCCTTGGCTGAGCCTCACCAGCACCAGCTTTGTGAAAGGAATATTGTGAGGGTTAAGTAGGTTGATTCCTGTAGAGTTCTAAGAACTGGCACTCATAAATGTTAGCTGTCTTAAGTTACTGTTAACACTGTTTTATCCTTTGATGTTTTCAAATATTAATTCCTAATTTCAGGCAAAGTACTCATGGGGTTTTTAAAAAATGTCTGTCTGCCTGTCGTTCCATTCTCTGCCTGTCCTACTTACATAATTGCTAGGAATATAGCTCAGTGCCTCAGTGCCTGTCTGGCAAACGCAAGGCCCTGAGTTTGATTCCTAGTATCAAAAACAAAACAAAACACTGAACAAAACAAGAAAAACCCTTTATGTAGTGCCGGCAGACTGGATGGTTTAGCCAGGAAGACTAGGCGGTTCCCTTGGCAGTTTGGGGGCACACTTTCCTTGACACCCCATTGCTTATAAAGGAAAGAAAGACCCCTCCCCCAGTAAGCCTACTGCCTGCCCCTTTGTTTGCCCTCCCTGCCCTTCAGCCTTCTGCCGCCCTCAGAGATGCTGTTGGCTTCTTTATATCTCTCCACATTGCTCTGTGTCCGCTGTTCTCCTGTGCTTGGGATGCCCTTTCTGCTTTCACCATCATGTGCTTGTGGCACCCCTCCACAGTACCCCCATCTTTGCCCGAGGGAGCACCTCATCTCCTCTCAGTTTGCAGGCGTATGGTAAGATGCCATCCTCCCAGCAGTCCTATAATTTGGATGTGTGTTTGGTGAGTGAATCTGTTTGTTGAGTGATAAGGATATGTCTTCGGTGATTCCCTTGGTCATAATATTTTCTTCTTCAGGCAGGGAAAATACTGTTGTATTACAAGGATCAGACCAAGGATATTCTCATTAGATTCACTGCCTGGTGTTGTGTTCTTGTAAGTAACAGATGTTTATTACCCAGATGGCTTTTCATCACATTCAGCTATATTTAAGAAGAAGTAAAGTGTTTAGCAACACTGCTGTAACATCTGTAACCACATAGTGATCAGAAACATTTTTCACTTAAGTAACAGAGGAACAAATCTTTTTTCTTCCTACTTTTTATTCTTTTGGTGGTAGAGATTGAACCCAGTACCTCTTGCATGCTAAACACTTAACATTATACCAATGAGTTACACCCTCATCTCCAAGGTGGGACAGATCTTTACACCTGAATCTCAGGTTTACTCTCTTAGAATGCTGTGTTTATGAGGAAGTTAGTGATTGTCATTGAACAGTGGCATGAGGAATGCCTACAGGAACTGGGAGCTATGGACTTTCGTGGGGAGCCTTATCAGGAAGACTAGGCAAGTAATAATACATTTCAAACAGCAACTTTTGAATTTATATGTAGAACAAATTTTTAACTTTGACTCAGTGTTCATTTTATTCCTAACTTTGCAGTTATGTTTCTTCTTAGGATGTGCTATAAATTTATTAGTTTACCTTCAACTCAGAGCAATACTGAAAAGATTTTGAAGAGTGGGTTTTAGTTATACCTCTTAAAATATGTTTCCAGTTAAAAGGATAAAATGTAAACCACAATTTTCAGCCCCTCTAAGCAGATACTTCGATTTGAAACACAATTATTTTTTGAAATTACAATAGAAGACTAACATCCTTCCCCTCCCTATTACAGGGGGTTATTTCTGCTGCTTTGACAAAAATGTCTGAAAATGAAGGCTTTATTCCAGTAAACAAAAATCTCTGGTAAGTACAGATGTATCATTTAATGTTGGTGATGTTTTGAGTTAAAGTTGAACATGTTTGTCCCAGGCGTCACTTACCCAGCTCTTTACAGGTCCATTTCCTACGTTACCACACTGAGTACTTTCTCCTTCTGCATCCTGCTGGTCCTGTACTTCATTATTGATGTGAGGGGACTGTGGACGGGAACCCCATTTTTTTATCCAGGTGAGTTACCCATAAGCCCATCCAGAGTTGGGCGGTAGAAAGACCCAGAGACCTGCTGACCTTCCACCACTGCTCTGGTGGCCCGGGCCCCAGGGACTGGCAGAGGGACAATGCAGAGTGCGGTATTCTTCCAGGTCCCCAGGACATCTCTGGCCTGTTCCAAAGCAGTCTGCTCCATTTTCACTCATTTAGGTCTGGACTGTTGCATGCGATTAATAACCTCCACTTGTTTCCTGAGGCAGTACCACCTTGCAGAGTGCCCCAAATGCTGCAGGGCATACTGTCCCGTTTTTAATACTTGAAAGTGGGACTGTGTTTCCTCTCTTACTGCCAGTGTATTATCTGAAAGATTATGCAAAGAGATGATATTAATAACTAAGTGCAACGGATCAGATGTATTTTAAAGGACTGAGACACCAGAAGAATCAGTGAATCATTTTATTTAGCTCTTTGAATCTAGTAATAGTTAGCGTTCTTTGAATCTCAAATTTGCTGTTTAAAAAATATGAGTCAAACTTGTAATTTTCCTTTCAGATTTGAATTTAAAAACCTCATTGTTGGGCTGGAGGTGCAGCTCAGTTGTACAGCATGTGCTTAGCATGTGCAGTGCCATGGGTTCAGCCTTTGGCACCACATGCAAACAAAGAAACAGAATTCTTTGATATAAAGTGACTGTTTTCCAAAAACTTAAAAATACTGTTTGCTTTTAAATAGTGGGATACATGTGTGTTACTTATCTTTGCTGGTAGCCAATAATGCAAGTGCATGGGTTTTGCTTTTTCACTGAACTTATTTCAGGAATTAAATTGATGAGCTGGTGTGACTCAGGAAAAACATGTTCTGTGTCTCTCTTTAAGGAATGAATTCTATTCTGGTGTATGTTGGTCACGAGGTGTTTGAGAATTACTTCCCCTTTCAGTGGAAGTTGGAGGATAACCAGTCACACAAAGAACATTTAACTCAGAATATAGTTGCCACTGCTCTCTGGGTGCTCATTGCCTACGTTCTCTACAAAAAGAAGATTTTTTGGAAAATCTGATAGCTACCACTAAAATGTGTTGCTGGAAGAATCTAGTGGGCCTGGAGAAGTATTGAAACAGACTTTTCATCGGTGAAAAAATTGGTAGTTTGTGTGTTTCCAGATTATTGTAAAAGTTGCTGAACTGAAACTGACTCTCTGGAATGTCTGACGTGACTTACAGACTTTTCCCTGTGTATTTGTGACTTACGCATTTGGAAACCTAGTCTTTTTCTTCCATCTTCTACAGAAATGGATGGATTTGGAGCTGCATTTTAAGGAATTGTACTCCCCCCACCACAGGGTTTTGCTGTGTAGTTCAGGCTGGCCTTGAACTCACTATGTAGCTCAAGTTGGCCTTGAACTCACGGCAGTCCTTGTGCCTCAGCCCCCAAGTGTTGGAGTTACAAGCTTGAGCTGCCACGCCTATGGTGTGAACCATCAATCTGATGCAGAGTTCTCTTGAGCATAATTTTAGAAACATGTCCTATTATATTGTGATATTAAACATTGAACTGGCAAATATCTCTCCATTCTAGTGCTTTCCTTTGTACTTTTATTTTGTTGGCTATAAATTCAAGCTTTTAAATTTTTACATAACTAAATCAACTTGGCTTGTTTTCCCTATTGCTTTCGTTAGTTTAAAAATGTACTTTGCCTTTTTTAGTTGCAATTGTTTTAATTAGTAGATTACATTTTCTTATTATATTTATTGGTATAATTTAGATGTACATAGTGCTCATATTCATCATAGGGACTTTGTACCTGTGTATGGTATATCTTGATTCTTTTTTTCCAGTCCCCTCCCCTCTCTTCAACCACTCTTCCTTCCTTTTTAACCTTTGTTTCCATTTTATCCTTCTTTGCCCAGTTTTTCTTTTCCTTTCATTCCCCACCCCCCCCTTCACTAGTTTGTTTTTCCTATTGAACAGTTTCTTCCTGTTTTACAGGGTGTGCTGTACATTTTTTGATCCTTACTTATTTTTTCATGCCAGGGAGACAATATATTTACATATGTGTCTCCAGTTTATTTTGAGGTGGGTTTGTGAACAACAGTAGGATAGGAATAGGATTCCTTGGATAGGATAGGATTCCTTGGATAGGAATCTAAGCAGCCAAACTGATACATTTGGAATTTAATTAGCTGAGCTCAGGACTACTTGTATGCAGACCCCCCCTCCCCTTTCAGAGTCCAAACAAGTGGCCCTGAACTGGAAAGTTACAGAGTTTTTAAAAGAGAGAATCACAAAAGACATCCTATTGGAAACAATTTAGTTAGAATCTCACATTAATTTTTGGTTGATGCCTGTATCCTGCTTCTTTTGTTGAGCAGGTTAATTTTCCTTCTGGGGGTACAGCTCATTCTGCTTTTCTCATGGGACTTATACCTTGAGTAATTTTCCATTTTCCTGGTCAATACAGGGGCAGTAGTTAAATGCAGGGCTCAAGATGGTATCAGTTATGCTAAGCTTTTCGGTTTTTTATATATATATTCAGTGTGTATATCCCATTACCATAACCTTTCTGAACCTAAAATATTGCCAGCTTCAACCAGTAATTCTTCAGGTTGGCTCTTTTCCTGGCACCATGTAAAGTATCCAGGCTCTTCCTGAACTCAGCATCAGCCATTTCTTTAGGGTTAGGGCTGGGGTTAGGGCTAGGTTTAGGGCTTTAGGGTTCAGATTCACATTTCTCCAAGCAAGGATTGGGTAGGTGGGGACGATAAGATGGGTTGAGGGCCATGCTCCAGAGTGGGGCTTGTCAGGCCTGGAGGGCTGCAGGGAGGGAGGGAGCCAGGCCTAGGGCCTCTGGCCTAGCTTCCCTTACCTCACCTCACCTCCAAGTCCTTGGGTGAGCAGGAGACTCTTTCCTTCCTTTTTCCCATCTCTTCCACGCACCAGGACCGGCCCTCTGCCACTTTGCCCTTCCCTTGGCTGTAGTCCCCACCACTATTTCTTGGCTTCACCAATGCCATCTCTGTAGAGCCCTGCACTGAACAAACCCTTGTCCTGTATCTGGACCCTACCCGGGAGGTGGGAAAAATGGAAAATCACTCAGGGTCTAAATGAGTGAGTCCTGTGAGAAAAGCAGAATGAGCTGGATGACCCGCTGTACCTCTTGGCAGAGAGAAAAATCAACGCTCACCCTCCATCCACTCCACCAAAGAACCGGGGGAGACAGCTGTGGTATCTGTCTGTCGGTCGGTCTGTCTGTCTGTCTGTCTGTAGACCCTAGGCCAATGCCAGATCTAACTAAATCTCGTCCGATGGATGTCTTTCTTATCTGTGGTTCTCTCTGATCCAAAGCTCTGTGACTTTGCTGTTCAGGGGCACACTGTCACTCATTCACTGGCTAGACTCTGAAACACGTCTGTCTGTCTGTCTGTCAGTGTTAGCTCTGCATCACTGATGGATGCCATCTCAAGCAGGCCCCACATGTATGTAACTAGTGTCTGACCCATATGTGCCTCTGGAGAGTGAGCCCCGCATGTGTCTGTCCTGTATCTGACTTGGGAGAGCAGGAAACTACTCAGAGAATGAGTCCCCCTGCCATGAGAAATGCAGGAAGAGCAGTACCCCTCCATGGGACAAAAACCACCTGCTTGACCAAAGAAGCGGGAGACCAACGGGTGTATCTGTTTGCCAACCAAAAAGCAATGTCAGATTCTGTTAGCCACATTGTTCCCAATGTGATATTTGTCTGTATGTTTTTGGCGGTTCTGTGTTCCAAAGCTTTGTGAAACACTGAAAATCACTTAGGGAGAGAGGGTCTGAGTTCCCATGATCCTCACCATCTCCCTAACAACAACAACAACAACAACACACACACACACACACACACACACACACACACACACACACACACACACACAGGTTCTGTTCCCTACCCTTACCATAAAAACACAGACATGCCTTGTTCCTCACCCTTACCCTAAAACACACATGTGCCCTGATCACCAACCTCACCTTAAAAAAACACACGTGCCCTGTTCCTCACCCTAACAGACATGTTACCTCAAAAATAAATGCAAGATTCTTCCTCAGTCTTTCCCAATGGGATGCCTGTCTGTCATTTTTGGTGGTTCTGGGTTCTAAAGCTTTGTGAAGCATGGACCATCACTCAGGGAGGCAGGGTCTGAGTCCCACGAGAAAAGCAGAATGAGCCTTAACTACATGCAGGAGAGAAAAATCAGCCCACTTGCTCCACCAAGGAAGCAAGAGACAGATGGGTGGGTATCTCTGTCTGCTGAACTAAACATCAGTGTCAGACTCTAGCTAAAACATTCCTGGTCTGTTTTTTTGTGATTCGCTGTCTGTTCAAATCTTTGTGATTTTTTTTCTGGCTCAGGGCCACCCACTCTTTGAAACACTTTGAAACAAGGGTCCACGTGAGTGGTGGTTGCCCTGCTCAGCTCAGCTCAGCTCACTGGGCTGCGAATGCATCCATCTGGCTCTTGGATACCCCTGTCTGTCATTCATGAGCCCACGTCAGTCCCTTTGCCCCTTTTCACTCTCTGGCTTGTTATAGTTTGCATAACTGATGCCATCTATCTTGGGCCCCGACATTTTACCAGTGCCCTGTATGTGACCCATGGAAATGGAAGATTACTCAGGGTATAAGTCCTAAAAGAAAAGCAGAATGAGCTGTACCTGTAGGAGAAAAATTAACCTTCTCAACAAAAGAAGCAGGGTACAGGTGTCAGTCAGCTGAAAATGAATGAAAGATCCTAATGAAACTTTCCAACAGGATGTCTTGTGATTCTTTTTTAGGGCCATTTGTTTGAACCCCGAACCTGGGGTGGGGGTGGTCTGCATATGAGTGGTCCTGAGCTCAGTTAATTAAATTCCAAGTTTATCAGTTTGGCTGCTTTGATTGCTATATTGTTGTTCACGAACCCACCATCTCAGGTTCTGCTATGTTTCGAGTCCTTTGCCTCTTTTCGTTCTCTCTCTGCCTTCTGTGTGTTGAACCAAAAATCAATGTCAGATTGTACCTAAATCATTTCCAGGGGGAAGGAAGGAAGTCTTTTCTGTGGTTGTTGTCTGTCTGAAATGTTTGCGAATTTCCAGTTCAGGGCCAGCCACTCCGTGAGACTCTGAAATGCATCCCCTCGAGTGGCGGCCGCCCAGCTCAGCTCAGCTCACTGGACTGCGGGTGTATACATCTGGCTCCTTGGATTCCTCTGTCTCTCATTCATGAACCCACTTGAGTCCCGTTTCCCTCTTTGCACCTCTCTCTGTCTCTGCTTTCCTTGAGCCCTTTGCCTGTTTTTGGTTCTCTCTCTGCTTTTGTTTTCAGGGCTCTGCCTCTTTTCACTCTCTCTCTGCTTTTTCTTGGACCCTAACAACACACACACATACCCTGATCCTGGTTACTCTGGGAGAGTGTCTAAGTCCCATGAGAAAAAGCACAGTGAGCATGTGCACACGCACACAAACACACACACACACACACACACACACACACACACACACACACACACGAGAAAAATCAACCCGCGCTGCTGCGCTCCACCAAAGAAGTGGATGACAGGTGGGTGGCTGTGTGCCTGTCTGTCTGTCTGCCTCTCTGTCAAACCAAAAATCAATGAACGTTGCATTCTAGCTGAGTCTCATTTCCAGCAGGACGTCTTTATTATTTTTGCTGTGCTTCTCTGTTCCAAAGCTTTGTGACTTGACTTTTGTATTTGGGGCCCCACTCACTCAGTGAGACTGTTGTCATGACTGCATTGGTTGTTGGACTCCCCATGATACATGTTATGGCTTGGCAGAAAGTTTGTCTGCATTTTGCTCATGCCCAGAGACTTCACCTGAGACTGAGATGAAGAGAAATGGACTGATTAGTCTGGCAAAGGAAATTTCCAAGCAGTCAATTATCGAGGCTGTGGCATGGCTATTGTTGGGGGTTTTTAGCCAGATACATGTTACAGATGAAGTATAAAGAGCCCAGTGAGATCATTTAGAACGCTGTGAGTTTGGTCAGAAGGAAAGCTTTAGTAAAGCTGTGGATTGTAAAGATAGAGCTGAGACTTCCATTGCCGAGAAAACAACAACAACAACAACAAAAAACAAGCAAGATGACCAGGGGGCATCCCAGAAAGCAATGGGTCTCCATCCTTTGCAGCCTTAAAACTGCAAAAGTGAAAGAATTTGCTCAGAGTAGAGGAGAAAGCTTCAGAGCACCATGTTCCAAAATGGTGACAGAGTCCACATGAGGTTCCAAAATGGCAGCAACACAGAGAAGCTTTTCCTTACAATCAGGTAAACAGAACCCAGTGATCCAGGCTTGGAGACTGACAGTTGGCATCCACATGATGCTGGTTTTAGATAAAAGAATAATGCACAAATTCTGACTTCCACTTTGATTGCAAAGGGCCTGGGAGGCCAAGCAGTGTGCCCCTGAGAGGGCAATTTATAAAGATATCAGGTGCCAAAGGTGCAGTGGAGACCCCAAAAGTTTAAAAAAGTTTTAAAAAGCCAAAAACGTAGATCATCCAAGGAAGGAAAGCTGCAAAAAGTGAGCAG